TCACCTGGACAGCCCAGGGAGAATCAAGGTGGGCCTCACACCCAGCCACACCATGCAAGGCCCAGGCTATTTCTGTGCCTGTTCATAAGAAGAACTTGGATATCAGACTCTGGCCATCTTGTTCATCTCATAAAGCTTTTCTAAGTCTAAGAGGGAGACTAGATTCCCTCCTATAACATAGGACAGAAATTAATACTAAGAGATGAACTTGAGTTAAAAAAGGAAACATTCATTATGTTCAACCTACTCTGATTATGAAGAATGGAGGAATATAGAATATATTTCAGACCAGATAGATGTCTAGCAGAAGTATTATTTTATATTTAAGTTTGAGCACTTAAATATAAGCTTTCATGATCTAGAACACTGACAAGTACGTACAAACCTTTTCCTAGCAATCCTGAATAGTGTATATGGTACTCAACTGCCCCGTTTTAGCGTTGCACCCCCCCAAAATAAACACAAAATTCATAAATACTTTCAGTTCACATTTTTAATGTTTAAAAACTATGTTAACAGAGCAGTTATAGAACAGAACTTCTTACATTTCTTTATTTACACCACACCCTGAAAAAACCCCAACTCTATTTGATTAACTATGAATAGCAAAGTTTTGTGATTTCTGACTCACTTAAATCACCCATCTGAAATTCATTTACAAGGTTTTTACATTAATAAAACAGTGGTGTGCTACATGTACTGGACTCAGATGAAGTCTAAAGTACACTGGACTCTAGAGAGTGAATTATGTACCAAAGATTAAGATTCAAGTGTTTGGGGAAAAAATTACGTAAGACAGTCTATGTTGGTGTCAACACTAAAATAAAAGGCAAACATGCAAGACTTTCAAATCTTGATAAAATAACGGTTCTTTGTTTTCTTTCCTTCAAATTTGTGCTCATAGTTAATATTCAGGTTTTTCCTCCCTTCTCAAAAATCCCAAAGTTTGGGAAATGTAGCAGTTCAATTTTGAAAAAAAAAAAACAAACATTCTTCTCCCCCAACTTCTGTTTTCATAAATACTGTGTAGTGGTATCAGTGTCAACAGTGAAAGAGCATTATGAAGAAATGATTTGTCATTTTGGGTATATCTGTTTCTTTATGACAATGATTTGGGTCTAAATATTCCTTATTTGTAGCTCAGAGAACTACCTTTTAAATAATTGATCTTAATACCAGCACAAGAAATCAATGCAACTATTTCTCAAACATTTCTTTTTCTAAACAATTAAGTAATGTTTTAGGTTCCAAGTTTATACTGAGAGAACTATGTTACCTGGGAGAGAATGAAAGTTTTTCTAATTCCCAAACGAAACCACTAATATGAAACATTTATTCTTTATATGTGGATACTAGAGACTTCTATTTCCGTGGATCAACAACTGCAAAAATATACAGTCTCCTATTTATTTACAATATATTTATATACAAATGAAGTATTTCCTACAATAAGCCTCAGCTGCATAGATTCTTCCTTTAAAAACATAAATTTGAACTTGTATACAGATGGGCCCAGTTTCATAGCCCTTCCTCAGTGAAAACCCTGAAGAAGGAGAATGTCTGTACCTTGTGAATTTTACGTGTTTTCCAAGAACTTTCTCTTTCAGATTTAGTGATATTTTTCAGTTGTTAGCCACCCCGCCCCCAATTTGTACCCAAAAGCCTTATATTGTTATAAATAATTCACTGTATTTTAGAGGAAGTATATTCTGTTGCTAAAGGATTCGCAGATCTGCCTTTCCTAAGGAAAATCATTAGTATTGCTAAATGATATAGTCTGTGTCTTCTTTGTTTTGAAAGTGGCTAAACACTTACTGTCAGCTTGAATAGGGGAATTATTTTCTTAAAGATTATACCCTTTCTATGTAAGCCTCAAGCCATTAAAATTGATAAACTCAGGGAGACTAATAGGTTTTGCTCTAAGGCATAATATCAAGTATACGATCCTATCTCTGACCTCCCACTCCAACTAAATGTGCCCGTCCAACATTGTGCCCCCAGAAATGGAATTGAGCTCTTCATTCTTTTCAGAGCAGTTTGTTGCTCCTTAAGCAGTGCAGACCTTTCAGCAGAGAATTCACTTTTAAAATAAGACAGGATTATTGCCACACCAGGAACACAGACACTCTGGAGAACTCACTCCTGCCAGGAATTCAGTGTTTCCTCTAAGGTTGCACTTACAAAGGGTATTTTCTTTTAATTTCCCTCAACAAGAAAAGCCTTACTTTCATCTCTTCGCAGCTTTAAAAAATATAGTATTATTGTGCCTCAGCCCAAAGGAACAGCCGAGTGTGGGCAGCCTTCAGTTTCGACCGTGCACCTGCGCCGGCGTTTCCAGCGGGAGGGGAGCAACCAGCTGGCAGCACCTGAGCCCCTCACTTTCTGCCGTTGCAGAGACCTCCGCTGCCGAGGCCCTTTCCTTCCCTCCCTAAGTCCTAGTTCCCATTTCTTGCCTCATGAATCCTAGGAACCATCTTCCGAGGTAGGACTCATGGGGAAAAAAGGGAGAGACCACTTGGCTTGCAGTGGTGCCCAAACTTGCCGAATGTCAGGATCACCGGGAGGTCTTGTTAAACAGAGATTGCTGGGCCCCCACCCTGACAGCTTCTGATTTCACTGTGTCTGGGCTTGGGGCTGAGAATCTGCTTTCTAACAAGGTCCCAGATGTTGCTGCTCTGGGGACCACACTGTGAGAACCACTGGCTTAGAGGCTTGAGTCCAACTCCAGAAAGAAGTCAGTCCTGGGTCTGAGGTGCCCTCGGAAACACTGAGGCCTCTCACCACAGTCCTGTGTCCACCCCAAGGCCACCATCATCACCCATCTGTGCCTTTTTCTCAACAGGGTCTGTAAATGTAAATTAGGGAAGTGGGTAGAGACCTTTTTTGCTCCCCATCTGATTACTGGGCAGTTAGACTGTGGTTACTAGCACTAAAACCATTAGAAGTGCTGTGTGCTGGCCTCGACTGGCCTCTGGGAGAAGCTATGCAGCAACATCCTTTTCTGTCGTGGGCAGGGAAGGAGAAGAGCTATAGGAACAAAGATCATACAAATAGAAGCAGGTAGGCCAAGCCTGAGACCTCCAGAGAAAAGAAAAGGTACCATCTGAAGAAATGTCCCTGGCAGTTTACAGCCCACTAGAGGCAATGTTAGCTGGCAACTCTGAACAAATATCCCCTAGAAACCATATTGTATTTGGTGGTTAGGTTCTTTAGCAAGCCTATTACATTATTCTATTTCAGCTACACTATGGGTTTTATAATCTTTTCTAACTGGTCTGGGGGCCCTAACCACCATGGATTACCTGATCTCTAAAGGAAAATACATTCCAGGTTGCAAATAACCAACTTTTAACATTTTAGAATATGACCTCCTTATAAAGTGGGGACTGCTGGTGCCTAAAAAGAGTAGATTCCCTTCCTGTGCATTTTTCACTACCCCCACTTCCAATAAGTAATAGTCGGTAAAATAGGGATTGACAGTATTCTGTGTTACAATAACTAGAGAACAGTTCTAAATCCAAAGTCTGAAACTGGCAATGTTCACTAGTGTAGAGATCCTATCTACCAAAGGAAAACGTGCTACTCCCCATGGCTAAGGTATAGTATCCTTTAGTCTACTAATTTAGCAGAAAAATTTCTATAGCACTTGACTGTGCTGTTTAAATTCTACCTAACATCTGTAATACACATATTTTTGGCTACCAGTTCACTATTCTGAACAAGAGTAAGAGCAGTACACTTTACAACTAATCCCACACAGATGATGTAATCAGCGATATTTGACAAATTACAGTAGGGTCTATTATATTCAGCCAACAAACTTAGATAAACATACAAAGGAGGTTTTAAAAATATGTGATCTTACAGACATCAACAACAAGGTGCCTCCTCTAAATAAATATATTTTAAATAATAAAAATGCCTTGTACTGACACATAAAACCCAGAGATCCAAAAATAATCACTACACATCCCAGAGTTAATGAAAATTTTCTAAGTTGACTTTGTGAGTGTAAAATGATTTGTTATAAAGTAATGAGGAAAACAGAAAGTAGCATGATATAGTTGACAACTAAACTATGTATTTTTACATGTAGGCTCATCCCACAACCTGGCTATTTCATTACTTGGTGCTCTTCCCAAGCCCCTAAAGGCTGACTGAATCTCGTTTTGCTTGGTTTCTACCATTGCTCATATAATATGGAAAACATTTCTGAAAAGGACAGAGATGGCTATGGAATTTCCTAGGTTAGGTATTCATATCTAAATACCTGAACTCTGACCTAATATGGATGTAATTCTGTAGCATTGTATTAAAAGCTCTATGACAATGAAATGCAGGAAATAACCTTTCTTTCTCCCCCAAGAGGATCATGACAGGTGCTTCCATTCCTGCCTCATCTATAAGACAGTTCTGTGTTATTCTTGGTGAGAATAAAGTCCCTTTGGGATTTGAGTTGGGAAGGAACAAAGTGCCTGAAAGCTCTGCCAACATCCGCGGTTAGATTCTACCTATCACCAGATAAGAAATCTGTGCTCGGTGAACTTATGTGCTTGGAAAATTCAACCAGAATGTAGATAAAACACAAGTCTTGCTCTAAGAGACCAGCTCATGGAACATGCACAGTTTTTGCCATATGTAGGCTATGGACAATCCAATGACAGGTGATGGCTCAGCTTAGGGGAATGCAGCCCTGGTTGCTGTCCCTCATTCCTTTCCCAGCTACCTTGTCCCAAACTCCCTTCTCTTTCAGTCTCTTTGTAGTTTCCTTCTACTCCCTTTAGGAGAGATGAGAGTATGAGGCAACTCTGTCCTCCTGCATGGGTCAGTTGGGGCAGGCAGTTATGGCCCACCCCTTGGTTGGGGATGAGAAGAAGCAACAGCACAGACACTAAAGTCCTCTTGTCTTCCCCATCTGGGGGAAGGAAGGTACGCACTGGAAGGTACGCACTGATTTTGTCAGATGCTCTTCACAAAGACTATGTCTGAGGGTTTTTTCCCAAGACTCTGGAGAGTTAATGGAGAAGAAATAGAAATGAGGCTTATTTAAGGTACAAAAATCTTACATTTGTAATAACCTAGATTTATAGATATAAAACAAGTCTTTTAAAGACTTCCCTAAAGTACCCAATATAAAACAGGAATTACTTATCTTAGATCATCCTTAGGTACACATTATTCTCTGTGCAAACAGCTGGTGGACATGACTAAAAGCTGCTGGGCTTATAATTTACTAAAACATTTTTTTCCTCCCTTCAGCAATACAGGTGGAGGGTTGAAGGCTATCTGCATCAGAGGAATATTTTCTTAGGTATTTTGGACAATCTTTTCAGAGCAGGTGCCATGGGTCTTCCTCAGCAAAAGTCGACTCAGACTAGAGTAACTTTGACGCAAGTTGCCAAGAGGGAAACAAAACTTCAATTGCTATATTACTCAAATGTGTGGCTTAATTTAATTACCAAGGTAAGAATCATTCTCACCTGCTTCCCAGCTGAGAACACTGGCTAGAGAATGTCTCTGTACGGGCTGGGATATAGTACCAGCAAGGCCACTGGACTGTCCACGCTCAGCTGCCAGGTGATCAGAGCCACCTCAAATATTGGGCATGCTCTGATCCTACAGTGGCACGTGCCCCATGACTCTCAGATGATTATCCCTGTGTGCTATGTTAACCAAAATAGGCAAATTATTTACGAAACCATTTTTTTTTTCTGTAAAGCAAAATAAATATATACAATTCAAGATTCTTTTCTCTTCTAAAAAGGTACAGATAGTGTGAGTCTGAACATCAGTAGGAAAATTATTTCAGAATCTGGATGTATAATAAATAAACATGATTGATGATCATGTTTTCAAAGTTCTAAGAGACTGTGAAGCCACAAAACATAGAGTTAGGAGGGTGAAAAATAATTGACTGTGAAAAGTACTGGGAAATACGCTTGCATGAAATTTGAAAAAAAAAAAAATCCCACAATCCCTAAATTGATCCCAAATCTTGGAGGGACTCGACCCATTATAGAAACAGGTCTCTATTTTGTGACCAAAGAGTTATTCTGTTTTAAATATCCTGTAAATTTTTGTTTGCTTCTGTAAACTTGCAAAAGAAGTGATGAGACGTTGCTGATGTGTGGGGGCTTGATTGAGCAGATGACAGGAATGTTTTCTTTCCTCGGCTGGTCTCAGTGGCCTTCGTCACCACTCGAGCAGGCCCAGTCATAGATGACCAAGGGAATGCTGACCAAGGAGAACAATACCCCCAGACCCAAGAAAAGGGCAGCCTGCAACAACAGAAAGGGTTATTTTCAGGGCAGCAAATATTTTCCACCTGCACCTGGGGAAAAAAAATAGAAATGTTTTCCCTCTCCCTTTGTGTCCCCTTGTGTTTGGAGTTTGTCACAACCATTGCTGAACTATAAGGATCTTTCTAAAATTGTGTGACTCTGATCCTGCATAGATGGAAAAAGAAGAAAAACAAGCTAAGTACCTCAGCCTCTACATTTTGTTCTTTGACTTCATGGTCACCACTAGTGTATCCATTCCACAAATGATGGGTGTCTTTACAGCTTCTTTCAAACTGAGATTACAACAAACAAACAAAAAAACAGACCTTGGAAAATATCCAGGTCATTTTGTTATCTCGCTCCCTACCAACCTAGCTTATCACGGGCAGGCAAACGTTTCTGTTTGAAAAAGTGGAAAAAAGACATGCAAAGCAAAGTAGATTTGGGCAAATGAAATAGGAAATAGCTGTTCAAAAACTACGGCACTCGAAGGGCTGGTAAAGGCCACAGGGGCTGGATTACTAAATCCAAAACCTGGAGAACATGAGATGATAAATTGCTTGGCCTTGAGCATATCCAGTGAGTCTGTGGGGACAAGGATAAAGCACCATCGTGGGTCTGGCCTAACTCCCGGTGGTCCCTACATGACAGGCACTTGTCTAAGGCCATTCGGTAGACCCTACTACCAGTTTTATTATGGGAGCAGGGTTGGAGAGGCTCAGAGGATTCAAGGCAACAGGTCTCCTCCATTTTCAGATTTAATTGGGATCTATTTTTCTGCTGTGCTAGAGTGAATGCTCCTTCCTCTCTGTCTTCATGAGGCCCCTACAGGTAGGGCTTAGAGGGGTTCTAGACTTATGGCTTCTGGGGTGATCCTCTTGGGGAACAGGATGCTCTACTGGCATTAATGCTGCTTCCCTGAAATGCGCAGGATGATCCCTCTGCCTATGATCTATCATGTGGATCTGTTGACTCGGATAACAGGTTCAATTATGGTGCTTACACTAGCTGGGAGGGTAGCTGAGAAGCCTTCTCTGAGGCTGAGCAAAATGGTGCTCCAGAAGGGACTCAGGTAGCAGCCACTTCACCCCTGCTTCCCTCACTGTCTCCAAGTGCACCACATTCAAGATGCCCTTGAACTTCACCAGACCTAGAAACAAGAATCCCAATATAGAAAGGTAGTTTTTGAATCCAGGTCTGTTGCTCCAAAGCATTTCTGTCAAATCATAACAAGACTCTTTAAGCTAACTTAGACATTTTCATTAAGGCATTGCATGTTCCCTGGCTGTCGGGAGAAGTTACATGACCAGAAATCGTACAGAAACAGTACACTGCATAAAATCTTGGAGTCCCTCTCCACTTCAGATCTTGCTAATGACAAGGCATCGCCCTCTGGAGACACAGGAGGATGAACGTCCATTCTCCTGGCTGGCCATGCCCTAGGGCAGAACAAAAGCTGAGGCACAGTAAGAATAAAACCAGAAGAGAGATTTTGAGGGAATGGAGAAGATTTTGATGTGATATTTTAAATCTCCTAAGTGGGAAAGCTACAGGGCTGCTGTTTCCCTTCAAGGCCACTGAAAGTAGTCTTAGATGGTGGAGAGATGGACTCTTTATTTGGTAAATTTAAGTGGAAAACTAATCAAGAACGTTAGAGTGGCTGGCAAAAGACATACCCAAATTCTTTCGGTTCCTTTATCTCCATCCTGGTTTGTGATTTTTAAATAAAGAGATGAAGGAAGAATGAAAATGAGCATATTAGCAGATGTAACTCCTGTAAAATAAAAAAAGGAGAGAAAGTTTAGAGTTATCATTGAGAAACTGCAGCTTTAAACAGCTGCTGTAGAATGACAGGTGCAAAGTCATAAAGCCATACCTACGACCCCAAAAATATCTTTCATGGAGGGTATGAAGATCACCAACAAGTTGATAATAACCAATAGTATGAAGGTAACCACAGTATGACGACATAAATTAAACTTTGTTTTTTTAGCCAGTTCAAATAAAGATGAACGAACCTGTAGGAAAGAAAACAGATTCTGTAAGGACCAATAGCATGCCAACCTCCACCTTTCTTGGCAGAGAAATTCATTTATTGGTCCATAGGAATTTGTAAAATGTTTTGTAATGTCTAGTGAATTTATAGGTAGCTTAACAGTTTTGGAAGTATGGGGGCTTGACTTAAGATGCAAAGTATTTTTATTTATGAATAGTAGTTTTCTTTTGGGAGGGGTAATTTCTGTCTCTGTTTTATCTAAGAATTAAGTGTTCCCTTCTGGTCCTTCTATATTTTACTGTCATGAATGACTGAGATCCAAACATTCTATCTATGTTTCTCCATAAAAAAGAGGGACAAATTAATTAAAATAGAGATTCACTCCATCAGAGGCTACACTGACTCACTGATGCCACTTGCTTTCCAAAGAGCCTGAACTCAGTCTTGGGATCCTTCCCGGATGCAGTTTCAATATCCCAGGAAAGTTACCTGGGGGAAGCTTTCTCTGCAACAGGCTCCGGAAGGCAGGAGGAAAGGCGAGACCTCGGCCTTTCTCATATTGCACGGAGGCCTTTACTCACCGTGAAAAACAACACAGGCACCGTGAGGATCACAGCGACGATGACAGCCAGCCGCACTGTCAGGATGAGAATGTCGTCTTTATTCTGGTACTTGTGAAGGAGGTCTGACTGCACAGTTTCTGAACAAGGGAAAAGAGGGTTTTGAAAGGAGACAAAAGTACATGACTGAATGACAGTTGGTTTTTTCTGAACAATAAAGAATTTGTAAACTAAAAGGCAAGGAAAGCAATGTGTTGAGGTGCCTATTAAAACAATTAATGAAGCTGAGAAGAAAAATCCCTGTGTGAGACATGCTCCACTGTGCATATATAACTTTAGCTAAAAGGAATTTAAAGCTGCACAGAGTGGGAATGCTTAATTTATACTAAACTAAACCCAGGAGTACAATGGTATTAAAAAATGAAACATACGAGGGGGGAGGGGGAGGAGGGGAGATGGGAGGAGGGGACGGGTATTTGCATACACAAAGAGTGCAATGCGCACCACCTGAAGGATGGACATACTTGAAACTCAGACTTGGCGGGGGAGGGGGGCAAGGGCAACATATGTAACCTAAACATCTGCACCCCTATAATATGCTGAAGTAAAAAAAAAAAAATGAAACATACGGTTGAAGCACGAACCTCTGCTTAAGCTAGACTTTCCCCCACTTGGGCCTAATCTTCAAACCACACCCAACAGTCACAGTCTTGCAGGAGAGACTGCAGGCCACATGGGGCATCTTTCAAACTCTCTTCCTAGAACCCAACTTCTGGTGGCCCAGCAGCAGAGGTGTGAGCTGAACTTAACCACTATTAGGAAATAATTCTTCTCTTCCATGTATGTTTTTCTTGTTTAAAAAAAAAAATTAGTTTATGTAATAGTTTGAACTTTTTCTCAACTTGGAACTGCAGAAAGTGTTATTTCAAAGACTACCATAGCTGGAATGGCAGTCACGGAGAGCACGAAAACGCTCACTCTTCTGACAAGAGATCATCTCCTCTCCTGTCTCTTTCGAGGGCTTCTCACTGCCCCAGTCTCAAGGTTCTGGGCTTAGAATTCAAATGCTTATCTGTACTATAGAGCTTGGTCTCAGTTTCTGAGAAAGGACCATAAATTATAATAAAAATCTCATTAGTTCCAATTTCCCTGATTCAAAATTCATAACCAATTAAAAATAGCTGAGCCTGTTCCTTTAACCTAAGAGGAATAAAAGTGTTTGGTATTCTATTATAGGTGAAAAGAAATGGGATTTACAAAGAAAAATCATACCTTGAACAAGATAACAGTGTGACTGTTTTAACTATTAATAACATTAAGTTCTCTCTCTCTTCCTCCCTTTACCCACCCCCAGCCCTGCAACTCTGCATGAACCTTAGAAACAACATTTTCATGCAAAAAATTAAATATGGTATTTATGAATTCATTAGACAATGTTATTCTCTATTCCTTGTGAAAATGATAATACTAACTGTAAAATCAGAGTAGCCTTTCTCTCCAAGCTGAATTAATAATCTTTAAATGTGTTTAAATTTTGAGACATTTGTGTTTATGAAAAAAAAATACCCCAAAGAAATATTATTTAATAGAGAAGATTGTGAAATATATGTTTTTAAATTAGGTTCCCAATTATAATGATAATGAAAGATCTTTTAAATAAAGCTACAGGATAATTTGAACAGGAAAGGATCAAGTAGTAGCAAAAACAGGTAAACTGTTCATAGAGTCAGCAAAAGTTATAAATAAAGGCTTGTTCCCCTCTTCAGATTTCATTTCTGTTAACTTTCTATGTCATTCCTTCAAATCTTTACAAGGCTCCAACTTTGGTGAACAATTAGGCATTTTATTTTTAATTAACGCAGAGTGTCATGAGTGTAGCACTGTGCTCTTTCTCACTTTCCACATCTGTCTCTGTCTCTCTTTTCTATTAATGGCATCTGACCCAATTTGCAGTGTCAATTAGGAAAGCCTTCTCTGATATAGTTTTAAATTGTCCTCACTAAAAGTGGCACACTTCTAAAATGCAATTTCTTTTGAGGACACTATTAGGAGAAAAAATTACAGTATATTGTTCCAGTAATTATTCTATTCTGCAGTCTGCATGCCTATGTTAAGGAACCGTTGCCACTTGCTTTATGTAGAAGAAAAAAACCAGCAAAACCAACGGATAGCTTTGTTGCTTTCTTTGGCTTCCATGTTAAAAGTTATTTTAATACTGACTTTTACTAATTTATTTAAAAATACTTATATTTATGTACCAGCAGAAACGACTTACCATAGAATGTCAAGTAGCCAAAAATGGCAGTCAAGAAGTACATAACGAACATGGCAAAAAAGGAGATGTTTGAAACCATCTGCATTTTTTTCTGTGATCGGCTAAAAACAAAGATAAAGGAATTTGAAAAGTTAAAAATCATTTTACTGAATTTAAGCACCAGTGTTAACACTGAACAATACTAACTTATCTTTCCTTCTACCAGGTTAGGGCAGATCTGAGCAGCTGAAATTTCTCCTGGCAATTATGCCAGTTTAGAACAACTTCTTCCATATCGATTGGTTATTGTGAGGGAGAGATTCATGGAACTGTACTCCCTTGAGCGTTCTCCCCATTCTTTTGAAAGAATATCAAGTTCTCATCTGAAGGGCAGATAGTAATTTTTTTAGTATTTGTGTTTGATATTATCTCCGCACTGGCTGGGCATGGGAAAAAAGGCAGAAAAGATTCAAGTGCTGTTCTCTGAGCCCCATTGATCAGTGGCAGAGCTGGAACTTGACCTCAGGTGTTCTGTCTCCAAAGCTACAGTTTAGGTTCTGGTTTCCCCATCAAGTAGCCCCAGGCACACACCTGGAAGTCTGTACGTCACCAGAGCAAGAAGTACCAGGAGATCATAGCTGCGATAATGGAGGGCTCTACTCCTTAGGTCAAGTTTACTCTGGGGTTGAGATGACCCTTTAAGATTCTTCAACTGCCCCAGAAAATCTACAGGACTTGTATTCAATACAGACCACAGATAGTCATAACATTTTGTTGTGTCATAACAAGAAACCTGGGATGTCATGGGAATATGGAAAATAAGAAAAACTGAGAAGTATACACTTAAGAAAATTATAAACTAAATGCTAAAACTATTAAAAGATGCCAAAGACATATTTAAATTGCCTAAATAGAGGACTATAAAGTAGAAATGATATTTATGTAGATAGATGTAGATATTTTAAAATTTAGTCATGTATCAATTAAATATGAAAGAGGAAGAATTGTGAGTGAATTCAATGCTAAATGACATCGACTTTATTTTTGTCAAAATGGAAATAAATAACTATATTGTATATTTTTTCTGAGTTTAAGGTTATGCCATGATGACTACTTTTATATAGAATAAGTCTGATAACAGTAGGTTAAAAAGAGAACACATAAGGACGTTTATAAGCAGGCTTTTAGTTTTCTTGAAAACAGCAATCAGAAATAAATCTACAGAATCATTTTAGTAGTTTAAAATGAATAACAATATTCTTTTTTCTAGTTTGTAGTCTTAACATTACTTTCTTATTGTCTGATTAATCAGCTTTTCCACCCAAACCAACAGGCAAATCAGAAACAACATATTTAGCAGTTTACAAATAAATCTGAAGATTATCATCCACTTATAAGCATAAGTAATGGAAAGCAACATAAATATTTGAACTCTTCTAAGTAATACAGTTTTGAAAAATTAAACTAAAAATTTAATTTAAGAATTAAATTAACTAACATGGTTGGTCACTTTCTATGTTTATGGCCAAAAAATACTGCAGCTTTCTGATTTTTCTTGCTTTCTTGTTTCTTAAAATACAATACTTGCTCAAGAATGGCAGAATGTTGGTAAATGTTGAAGCTGGGTGGTGAATCCTCAGTGGTTCATTATACCAATCTGTTTACTTTAACACAGTACTTGCCTATTAATGAGGGGATGTAAAATAATCAAGATATAAAAATTAAACAAATCTCTTACTCTTTAAGCTCACTGTAAATTGGCAGGACTGACGGGTGGCAGACAAATGCAAATGCAATGGTTGGTAACGCATACACGGTCTATTAGAAAGAAAAAAAATAGACATTAGGAAAAGACATTTTTACCATAAAAATGATACCGCTCCAGCATTTCTGAGCTGTCTTTTTATCTGACAGCTCTTCAGAATCCCTGGATTATTTGATTATTAGGAGGGTTTTGATCTCTAAAATAGAAACAGCTTTTCTAAGAGAGCTTATCTAGCTCGTGCCATTAGGCACTTGTCACAGAGGGACTTTAGATCTGGCTCACCTACAGCGTATTTTATATACTGCAGGCACAGCAAGAGCCCATGTGGCACTAGCCAGTCACATGGCATTTTTCCTACATCATCTCGCTGGGTCCCCACAACAACCCTGGACAGGAGACAGACCATTGCTCTTCTCCCGACTCGCTCCAACAGGTGAGGTGACTTGCCCAGGACGTCCACCCCTATTTTACTGCTCTCTGCCCCCTATCGGGTGCATCAGGCAGAGTTAAAAGATGCTCTCTGAAAAGAAAATTGGCTCCATGTTGCATTACTTTGGCTGTATCCTTAGAGTTAAAAGAGAGTGGGGGCAGGGATATCTATTTAGTTTTCTTAGACAAGGCTTTTAAAACTCTCAAACTCAATCCATGCAAAAAAGAAGCTGGCGGAGAAACAAGGAAAAGTAACCTATCTTAGGCCCTAACTGAACTGAGGCACTGTACCAGGCACAATCTAACAAGACCCTGTAGGACACAGAATAGATCCTCATTTTTACACAAGGGGTTGAGTGACTTGCCTGAGGATTCAAATCCAAGCATGCCTGACTCCCTAGTCCACTGTTCCCCACAGTACCAACAATATCATAATAGTATGGAAGCGTTTTAAGTGCCAGTTTGTGGTGGTATCTATATTTCAACTGTGCAAGCTGAGGAGGTCTGTGTTATTCCTTTTTGTCACCACCATAGAAGATGTAGTGGGCTAAGAATGTTATTAACCTGTTTTTAAAGCATCACCCAGCACTCTACACAGAAGAGAGGAACTGAGACAATTGTCCAGAATGGGATTCTCATAGCTCACGCTCACAGCTATCCTGCATGTGAATGGGTAAGAGGGAGTGTAAAATAAAACATTTGTGTCTTTTTCAAAGGTCTCTAAATGAATTTTGGAACATGGAAACAATGGTTCCATGTGTTCTTTTAAGAATGAATACATTCAAAACTGTAATTACAGCAAGTATGAGAAATATAATGCCCTTAATAAAAATGCTTGTTTTTATCTGTAAAGGATAGGGAAACTTACCTTTGAATTGAAGGTAACATATTTTGGCATACACGTCTCAGAAACCGTTGAATTAGGACTTGTTTGGTTTAGTGATGAAACAATGCAGGGAATTTGAAATTTCTTATAAATAACCTAGTATTAAAAAATAAGGTAGAAATAATGTAGAATTTAGTAAAGGCAGATAAGGAATAACTATTACATAGCATTGTACTATGACAAAACCAACCTAACCATTTCAATCAGCACTTACCACTATTAGGAAAAAAACCATACAGCTCAAGGAAAATCCACTAGTATAGCCAAGATACCCTTTGGGGGAAAAAAAAGGAAAAAATAAATTGTTACTATTACTTCGTTCATCACCTCATTTCTTTCAATGCATTATTTCAACATGGCTTGGGGCTCCAATAACATACATACATGGCGACGTGAATACAAGATTTACGGTGTGACAGTGCTACTTTGTGTGGCAAAAAATGGAGCTTTGAATGAAAACATTATATGTGTTTGACTCCAGTTCTCCCTGGCACACTAGAGAACGTAGATTCCCAGAATCCAGGAGAAAGAGCCTCCCAATTTTGGCCCTACATCTGTGGTGGTGTACTTTGCAGGAGTTCCACAGGCAAATCCATTTACTGCTAGATCCCCTTGATAGCTCTTTATTATGCACTTATTGTGTGCATACTGAATGTTAATTATAATACTTCTCTCCCCAGATGTCAGACAGCAGATAAAGTGAATTTCAAGTGATAAATTGAATATCTGGGGACCTTTACCTAGCTCCCCTTAGAATGCCTAGGAGATCTCCAGTCGCCACCGTTGTCTTCAGAAAGGCAGAGTTAAGTGGTCTCTCGGGACTGCGTTATTCTCATCCCAGAGGAAGAGCCTTTCTCTACCTAACTGAAAAGAGTTACCTCTATAGGTATAGAAGAGCCTAAACATAGACCCAGAAACCAGACAATTAAGTGTCTTTAAAAAAAAAAAATCTCTTATAAACCTCCGGGATAGCTACAGAGGTCTGATATTTTCTATACAAAACAAAACAAAAAACTGCAGCTCATAATCATTTTTGGAAGAACTTTAATCCAAACTTCTGCCTCCAATTAGCCCAGAATTAAAGAATATGTATTTTAGAGGTTTTTGACATGGATGGCAGTCTGGCCTCATTATTCAATGTATGAAATTCCCATAATATCAGGCATACTTGTCTCCAGATATAAGCATAAAAACAAAACAAATGTCAAAACCAAATGGATATGACTTGGAGATTATCCATTTTTGACTTTGACTTCTCTTTCTGCCTTTCAGTGAGGCAAATAATTGAGATTGCTGAGATTCTATAAATTTAATAGTGATTCCTAATACTTTGGGGTACAAATATAAGCAACTTTCTGTCTTGATATTAGATTTGAAAATCTCTTTGTCTAAATGATCAGAATATTTAAGACTTTATATAAGGAGAATTTCATTTTCTGGACTTTCAGAGTAGCCTGTCTCCAAAAAAAAAAAATAAATAAATAAATAAAAAGAAAAAGAAAAAGAAAAGAAAAGAAAAGAAAATAGCCCTGTCTATTCTGGCTCCAGAACCTCTCTTCTCCCCTCCACAGCTTAGTAGAAGGATTGAGAAAGTCACATACTGACCAATGTTGTTATCCTATATTAAAGTTGGGCCTGATCAATATTTGCGATTTATTATTCACTTAATCTTTACCCTACAAGTGGAAACAGAGAGCAAAGTTGTTCAATTTTAATCCGTTTCTGATTCATCTGGGCACTGTAGACTGTGGTAAAAGCAAGATCTTTCCTTACCTAGGTTCTTTAAGAGACAGAGAGGGAGAATTATGCCAAAGGTAACTATCACCACCAGAACTCGTCCATCCACATACCAGGCTCTGAAAAACATTTCAGTAGTTAGGTTATATTTTTTTAGAAAGTGACTTTTTTCCTCAAATGTAAAATTTCATAATATATTTTAATTAATTTTTTACTACTACCAATTTTTACCATTTTTTAAATTAATTAATTAATTTTTTAATTTCAGTTTACCGTTCATTTTAAAAATCATTATTCAAGTTTTACCCAAACACTTTAACCCGACCACTACTCATTTACTACAGCCTCACTCCCGTGTAACGGAAGAAGGGACATTGGTTTTTTTCCCTCCCTCATTGGCTAAATGTGGCATTCCTTTGAATTATTTACGTGGTTTCAAAGCTGAATGCATACATTGCATTCTGTTGGATTACAACTTGTCCTATCAATTATTTAGAAAGAAAGTTCCTTTTTGTTTTGCTCGTCTAATGTCAGCAAGAAACAAGTCATAACAGGTCGGCATTCCTCTTTCCCTGATCCCTTGGATTTGACCTTGAATCCTGAGGATGGAACACTAGGAATTTTGGCTTCTATGATTCTCCCTTGAAAGAAAACAGAGAAACTGAGACTGACAAGAACTGTTAAACAAGAGGGAGTCACAACATAATTGCAGTGCCAAATGTAGCTGCAAGATTTTCCAGGGTTAGCTGCACCTTTAATGAGGTTGGCCCATGTACATTTCGCTCCCGAAATGCAGTATCTCTTCAAGAAAGAGGCCAGGGTCTTCATTTTAGGATCTTCATGTATATTATTTTATTTTTTTGCATGTTCCACTTCTGTATTAAAAACACTCTATATCTGTTCTATTTCACAGAAACTAGACACAGATTTCAGGCTCTTGAGAAAATTCAGTATCTACTGTTTACAGCATGACAGATGAATCTACCTTTAAAATGTTCATATTCAAATGGCTCTCCCTTCTTCTTTCATTTATATGACCCCAAAGAAATTTACCGTTGAAACAACAAACAAAGGGAAAAAAAACAGCCCAGGAAAACTTTCTCTAATTTTCATAAAGCAAAAACTTTGGTTAGTCCAAATTTAAATTAAAAACATTTTAGTTATGCCAAAAGAAACTTACGAAAATGCCTCTTCCTTTCCCATTAGAAACTTTATGGCAGAGGGTAGTTCATTTTTTACTATGAAGAGGTAGCTCAGCATTGCTAGAGGAAAATGAGAACATTTTTAGAAAGAAGATACTAAGGCTCATGTTACCAGCTATATAAAAAGCTACCAGCCATTCTTAGATTAACCTTCAGTAAGACACAAAGGCAGTTTTAGCCACTCTCGCGGGATACTTGGCTTTAAATAAAGTGACTGCTGTCTCTGCTTTACTTTCCAAGTGCCATTTTGGCAATAAGGATAATAACTACTTGAATTATGTTAAAATTCATGTGGCCACCCAACCATCAGTATTAAAGTTATGTATAGAAAAGCATGTTCTTACCTCCAGTGTTCTGTAGAGAAGTAGCCCCAAAGATTACGAGCTTCCCTGTGGTGCCAAAGACTTGTTCTCCCAGCTTTTCATAAACCATGCAGCCTATGTAAAAATCAGATTTGAGAACACAGGTAATGACACGATTCTAAAAGTTAAAACAGCCAAAATTTCATCCTTCTATTGACCATCCCCCAAGTTATTTTGTCCCTTTCTCAAGTCATACAAATAGCTACCTTGGCTTTGCAAGGGTTAAGGCATTCTCATAATAAAACAACCTCTTGACTTTTTAAAATGTCAGACATGACCACCATTTCTCCTTTTCCAAGTCGGCTACCAAACCATTACAATTAAACTATTAGGTCATAAGACTTATTTTTAACTATCTCTACCTTACTGAGGGGGAAATTCCCAGTGATCATTTTCTCAGGTCTGGAATCTACCATCAAAATAAAGATTCGATGAAAAAAAAATCCTGATGGTTGAGACAAAGATTCCTTTTGAATTAATTACCTAAACTGATTAGCCTAACAAAGAATTATCTTAATAACATCACATCAATGCCTCTGTGTTCTAAATATAATAACAAGCTGAGAAACATCTTAATAGTTATGACATAATAATTCTGATCATTTGTAAAATTTAGTTCAAAGACGTGCAACTCACAAAAGACAGCAACAGACAAATCTGTCAAAAGAATAATTTGGCTGCTGGAAAATTCAAGTGTTCAACTAGCTCATCTCAATAAATACTAAAATTTGAAACCATCCTTTTTAAAAAAAGTGTTTATATTTCTTTATAACAATTTAGTTCATGTTTTTGAAAGGTTCACAGAAAGTGATATGGGTTGGCTATAATTAAACCTTTGTTTAATTTCTCATAAGGCTGGTGTTTAAACTAGACAATGGCTAGATCCTCAACTTATCACAAAATGTTCCAGTTAAATGGAGTCATCTATATACAATAATAGCTGGCCAATGTGGTTTCAGCGAATGTAAAAGTCAAAGTATTACAAACGTAATCCAGTGTCCCAGGAATAGAAAATAAACACTTCAGGTATTACACTGCCCAGAGTGTTTGAAGTCTCTTCACAGTTCACTCACTCCCACACTGCCTCAGGAGGAACATCTCCTCTTTGGAATATGCACAAAAGAGAATGAAAGGTCTGTTTACTTTTAAAGCTTTGGAAGCTATAACACAAAAACGTGAGATCTTTGTTCTAGATTTATAAAGACCTAAGGAAAAACTGAAGCCTTTAAAATGAAATCATCTTAAACTAGAAAAACAGTTATAATTGAGAATTCATTTTAAATGACAATATTAGTTGTTCATTGTCCATGACAATTTAATTTACATTTTGCTGCAACTGTTTCTCTAGATAAACACCACCATCAGTTTTCCAATTACCGTAGGTCAAAGTAGTCTCTCTTTTCAATAACCAAATTGTTGTGCAGAGAGAGCGTCATTTGTTCACAATATCACCAGGGAAATCATTCACCCTGGCTTTAACAAAATCAGACATATTCTCAGCTTACCTGTTTCTTTTGAACAGATCAATAGAAGGTTTATTGAATATATAGACAGCAATGTCACAGAAGTCAAAAGTATCCTAAATCAAAGAAAATAAATCTTGTTGTAATAACTACAAAAAAATAATTCTGACCTTACATTTTAGAAGGGCAAAGACTTATTTATATGGTTAACACTATTTGTTAATAGTACACAAATTTTGGAACCTATTAGTCATCACTGCTTTAAAATCGTCAATAAAAATGTCCTACCAAATAAAGAAGTGCTCATTAGAATCTGAGTGACTCCAACAGTTCAAATCCTTAACGTAATTCAAAGCCCAAATACCTCTCTGGGAACATTTCAGTTGATTTGATTTTAAAACAACATTATGAAAGGGAGCTTTTGTCGTCTATGGGGTACTCTCTGTTACATCTGGGTGAGAAAGTGTCAGAAAGGAGTATGTATGGGGAGCAGTGAAGAGAAAGGCTGGCGGTGACCCTAGAAGGGTGACCATGTGACTTTGGGCAACTTGCTTAGCTTCTTTCATCTCCAGATTCCTCCCTCGCCTACAACATGAAGACAAGACTAATGATGTCTAGGGTTCTTTTCATCTGTCACGCTATGGCTATTTTTGCATCTATACACTGGACCACCAATATAACTTGCTTTTTTTTTGCACCTGGTTCCTTTTAGATGAATAAGCACCTCTTTTAGCTAATGGGAAAATTTTGACAAGCAAGTATAATGAAAAGATTTTCTTGAATGACAAACTCATGTTTTTGTTTTAATACATCTGGCTCCTTATTAAACCCTTCTCAAGAAAAAAAAAAGCACAGTTAAAATGATGTGGGAGATTACATAGATTATTTCTGAATCATTTTGTTACAATAGACATGATAATTGAAAATAAACTCTATTTATTAGAAAGAAAAAAAATTCAGTCCCCAATGAAACCGTTCACTTCCTTATGTAAGAAAATATATCCCCAGAACAATAATACATCACCGCAACTGATTCCATGCTTGGGTAATTAAAGGCAATTATTTTTCCAGTAAGTGCTGTTTGAGAAGCACCTGGCACATCATGCCGTTCTCTCTGCCTGGGCTGCCTCCTCCCCACTACTCCCCTCTCCCTGTACACCTGTTGAACCCCTGCTCTAGGCCCCAGCTCAGATGCCACCTCCTCAGGTGCCTTCCCTCGCCCCAGGCAGGATGACTGCTCCTTAGCTCTCTCTGGTCCTGCAGCATTTGTTTCTCCTGCATGCAAAGCAGCCATGGGGAGATAAGCAGGGAGTACAGAATGGTCAACAGCAGAACAGACGGACTGTCAGAAACTGGCTAGAAAACAAAAGAGGGGCAGAGCTCAGCAGAGGCAAAATAAACACTGGGAGAAAGAACAGAAAACCCAACACTTTGGGTAAAGGCCAAGCTGACCTGCCGATAAAGGGGAATTTAGGTTAAGATGATTGTTAAGGAAGTGCATTCAGATATTTATTTCGCTAGGATCCTTGAGTGAGGAAGGTGATTAAGAGGGTAAGTCCCTTGTTACCTATTCTGGTTGAGGGACACGAGGACTTGAGACTAAGCATTTATTAACCAATTAGTAGTTTTGAAATGTGTCATGGAACATGATTAATGTGCTCTGTGAGAGAATAAGATACGGAACCTATTTGTGGCATGATTTTTTCCCATCTTATAAGCAACATTTATGTTGAAGAAACAAACTTTGAGTTTCACTCAGAGTTGACTCATGTTTTCAGGGATACTGAACATTAAGTGGCCACTTCTGTCTGTGCATGTGACAAGCCCTAGAGGATTTCTGTATGGCACAGAATGGCATGGGCTTCCTGGTGGTGACAGCATGGGTGCCATCTTAGGACAAGCCACATGTGTTCTGTAGTGACCATGTGCCCTGTTGGGTCAACTCTGCTGGGACTGACCAGGAGACGGGGGATATTACTATAGGCCCAAGGCTAATGAATAAAGAGTATGACCTATAGGAGCTGTGCACCTAGCAAGAAGGGATAATTACTAACATCTACATAATGATTTACCAAAGGCCCTAACCCTGGGAGAACTGGGTGTTAATTAGCAGAAGAAACATTTGAAGGAAACATTTGTTCCCTCAGCTAGTAGCTGCTGGAACCACACGGCTCTTGCCCACCGCTGCCTCTTAACATGTGCTATGGGTTAGATCTCTTTGTAGATGATGCTCAGCTGGGCTCCGGCCTTTGCAAGATGTGAGAGATTTCTTCACAAATTCCCATCACTCCTTTTCCCTTCTCAAGTGAGAGAAAAGTGTTGATCAGGGAAGATTTTAGCAGGGTGTTCACCTGTCTTCCTCCTCACACTTAAACACAGCAGAATAAGGTGCCCCCACAGTGATGAAAACCACCCCCTTGCTCCTGTGTTTAAGAGATATAACACTGCACCCCAGAGGAAAGGGCCTAGAGTGAGAATCCAACAGCCTTTGCCTTGAATCATCTGCTCTCTGAAGACTCTCTTCTCTTTGTCACTCCCAAAATACAAATAGATCTTCTCTTCCAAGACTGAAAACCGATATAAAACAAAAAACTTTTTCTACCAGGTCACTAAGAGGCAAAGCATATGAGTAAAATTCTAAGAATGCTTTAGACTATACCAGATTATGGCATTAATGGGATTAAAATTTAGAAAAAGTACACCCCCTTATTCAGATTCTTAGAAAGAAGCAATATGTTGTTTAATTGACTCTAATAGATACTAGAATAATTTAAGACAAGCCAGGGATGGCTCGAGACACAGAAACTATGACATCTAAAAGAGCAAAGGGGAATAACTGGAGAGAATCTGATGATTTATTTGAACATTTCTGTTTTGAGCATGATTATACCCTTATTTGTTCAAATTGATACTTGTACATATAATTACAGTTTCCTGAAAGAGTAACACACACTAAGATTCCTGTGCTAACACAGAGGAACACAAGTGATTCCTTTTTTTATTTCATCTGGATATAATTTAAGCCTCCACACTGCTAACCATTGACCCAAAATTTTAATATGGCTAAGGCAAAAACTGGTGGCTGAAAAAGGCATATTTACACGGAATGAAAGCTTAGCAATTTACAACTGGGTCACCAAGGTGGTATTTCAGACTATGTTCAGCCTTGGAGAAAAGAAGATCTAGAACATGTAACTGTACGTAGGCCATGGGGAAGGGGTGGCGGGAGAGTTAGAGTTGTAAAGAATGGGGTCAGGAACTTTTGAGAGTCCTTGTGTCAATGACACTTTGAAAGGTGTGGTGCAAGGACATCCCAGGAGATTTCTGCATCCCCTGAGGAGAAACTTGGAATTCTAGACTCCCGAATCTGGGAGAGACCTTCAGAGAGTACCCTGTCGAGGATGGGTTTGCACCCTGGACAGGAAGCCTCTATGCTCCACACCAACACATAGTTCTGCAAAGTGTCTTCTGACAGGAACACATTATGCAACCTATTCTGTTTCTGGAAAGTTCTGTGCTTTGGCTGAACCGAATCACTGCTGTTCCTTTTATCCTTGGGTCCTCATTTTATATTCTGGACCTATTTGAATCTACTTGAAACAAACCTAATCCCTCCTCTATCTAACAGTCCTGATGGTGCTCATTTTAAGACTGAGCTCTTTCACTTAAACATCTCCAGTTCTTTCAACTGTGCGTTTGGGCCATTTACATTTCAGTCATGGTCCAGTTTCTCAACCACCCTTCCTAAAGGCTGTGTGCTGAGACAAACACAATGCTACAAAATCAAGTTTGGTCCAAATAGTGCAAAGCACGATAGGAGCTTTAATCTCTTTGAGTTTGACATCATGCTTCTTTTAAGGCAATTGATTCTGGAATTCATTTTTATGGCAGCCACATCACATTTTTCATTCTTTTTGAGCTTTTGGTATGAACTGCTACTAGGTTAAGTCTTCCTGGTTCTGTCCCGTGTACTTGTTTTTTTGAAGCTAAGTGCAGGACATTTATTTCTATTATATTTCACCTTTCTAGTCTTGTGATCTTTTCTTAAATTGTTGATCCTTTTTACTTATGTATTAACCACCTTCTCTAGCTTCTTATCTTAAGCGTGCCTTCATCCAAGCCACTGGTACTGCCTTTGAATAGAACAAGACCGTCTGGAAATGGCCCACTGACCAGATGACTGCCTGAAGCCTGGAAGTCATCCTTGATCTCCTTGATTTCTCACCTACTCTCTCATCCCTCATCTCTAATTCATTGGCAAGTGTCCTACCATTTCTACCTCCAAAATTTATCCCAAATCCATACACACTTTTCCCCATCTCCACCAACACCACTCTAGTCCAAGCCACCATCCTCTTCAACCTCTAGGCAGCTGGGATCATCTTTACCTATCTCCCTTCCCTTGCCTCCTCGGATCCATCTTTCACCCAGCAGCCAGAGTAATCTTTTTATTTTATTGCTTTATCATATGTCTTCCATTACTAGACTGTAGGACAGGCCATGACAGTTTAATTTACTTATCTACCTACTTACAATGAACATCAAACACACACATAACAGACTTTTAGCTGAGAGTCAATGGATTTACAAATATTGGAATCTCATTTGCAAGTTATGTGAGACTATGCCAAATATCTTGCTATTTAATAAATTCAAGATCCCCTCCCCCACCTAAGATAGTCCTGTGACCTACTAATTCACCCTGATCTCAAAAGATAATATTAGTTTAGTGACTATTTAGGAAAACTCTTTTGGCCTCTACAGAGCAGTATTTTCTGCAGCAATTGCATATAAACAAGCTATTTAATAATTTGTTTGACAATATTGCTTGGGATATACTTTTTGCCACTTTTGAAAGCTGGGATGAAATAGGCCATTTCCAGTCCTCTGGGATACTGCTGCTATTCATGATTTTTTAAGATTTCTGACAGTGGTCCTAGATATATTTACTCTATTTGCTGCAAAACAATTTTTATTCATCTCTTAAACAATGAACATCCAAACATCTACTTTAAAAACACTTATTTGTCTTTGTTTTGAATCATACTGACAGGACCGTAATTCTCTGGTCTTCCACAATTTACCCAAAGATTATATAGATAATGTCATAATAAAT